CCGCCATAAAGTATGTAGCTTAAGGTTATTAACCACCTATATAATGCCTCGGATCCTCTTTACTTCCTCGGGGCATGATCCCAACTCTTTCTTCTCCTGAATGTTTTATTCCTGTTTCTACTTTCTTTTCTTTTTTAGTGACAGAGTCTTGCTCTGTTGCCCAGGCTGGAGTACTGTGGCTCAAACACGGCTCACTGCAGCCTGGAGCTCCTGAGCTCAAGTGATTCTTCTTTCTCAGCCTCCCAAGTAGCTGGGACTAAAGGCGTATGCCACCATGCCTGGCGAACTTTTATTTTATTTTTTATTTTTTTTGTAGAGATGAGGTCTTGCTATGTTGCCTGGGCTGGCCTCAAACTCTTGGCTTCAATCTATTCTTCTCCCTCTGCCTTCCAAATTGCTGGGATTACATACAGGCATAAGCCACTGTGCCCAGGCTTCTACTTGGAACAATCAGAAAATAGGCTAGGTATAGTGACTCATGCCTGTAATCCAAGCACTTTGGGAGGCCAAGGCAGGTCGATCACTGAAGCTCACGAGTTCGAGACCAGCCTGGCAACATGACAAAACTCTGTCTCTACAAAAAAAAAAACAAAAACACACACACACACACAAATTAGCCAGGTGCAATGGTGCGCCTATTATCCCACCTACTTGGGAGGCTGAGGCAGGAACATCGCTTGATCCTGGGAGGTGGAGTTCCCTGTGAGCCGAGGTTGCTCCACTGCACTCCAGCCTGAGTGACAAAGCAAGATGCTGTCTCAGTAAATAAATAAATAAATGAAAAGAAAATAGTATTTTACGGTTTCATTTTAACAGAGATACTGATTATAGACTTGTTTGCTTATATAGGTGGCTGGCATCAGAGAGTCTCTGGTCAATCTATTCACACAGCTGTGGCAACAGAGAATGCCAAAGCCAATGAGTGAGGGATATTTACTAGCCACAGCTGCCTTCACAGGGACATTGACTAGCCACAGCTGTCTTCTAGCCCTGGTCACCAAGGATTTTGGTAGGAGTGTCAAATAGACCTGGGACAAGTTTATCATCACATCTAGAAAACCAACTTCAAATGATGGATTCCCTTCATATTAAAAAATGTGAAATTCAAAAATATTTTATGTACTTTGAAAATATGTATACAATTATCAGAGCTGACATTTATAGTTGAGTTTTTAAAAAAACCAATAAAGCAAAAAAAAATCAACATGAAACATACACCCTTCCTCTCATCTGATTTATAAGATTTATGACAGAAGCCACTGTATTTTCTATGGATACATCTGTAGAGTTAGTAAGTGATCTTTGCTTACTACACCATCTGAAATTCAAAGTGCACAGGACAACAAAAGGAATGTCACCTTTCTTTATATTGTTTCCCCTATTTGGAATACTTCTACCTTTAAAATCAAAGTTCTTTAAATGAGCCGGGCGTGGTGGCTCAAGCCTGTAATCCCAGAGCATTGGGAGGCCAAGGCAGGCGGATCACCTGAGGTCAGGAGTTGGAGATCCGGTCTCTACTAAAAATACAAAAATTACCTGGGCATGGTGGCGGGCACCTGTAATTCCAGCTACTCAGGACCCTACAGCAGGAGAATTGCTTGAACGGAGTAGGCAGAGGTTGCAGCGAGTTGAGATCGTGCCACTGCACTCCAGCCTGGGCGACAGAGGGAGATTCGTTTCAAAAACAATAAAAATAGGATGAGGACGGTGGCTCACACAGTAATCCCAGAACTTTGGGAGGCCGAGGTGGGTGGATCGCTTGAGGTCAGGAGTTTGTGACCAGTCTGGCCAACATGGTGAAACCCAGTTTCTACTCAAATACAAAAAGTAGCCGGGCCTGGTGTCACACACCTATAGTCCCAGCCACTAGGGAGGCTGAGGCAGGAGAATAGCTAGAACCTGGGAGGTGGGGGTTGTAGTGAGCCAAGATCGCGCCACTGCACTCCAGCCTGGATGACAGAACAAGACTCTATCTCAAAAAATAAATTAAAAATAATAATAATAATAATAAATAAAGTTCTTTAAATGATTCTCAACCTGGGCTGCAAGTTAAAATCCCAAGGGAACTTTAAGATACTGATGCTTGGTCCCCACCCCCAGGAATTCTGATTGAATTGTCCCCAGCTAATTCTAATGTCCAGTCAGGGCTGTGAACCCTTGCTCCAAATCTTCTCAGCCTTCTCCATCAAGCTCTTGCCTCCTATTATATTACGTATCCTTTTCTCTTCTAAACATCTGCCACCTTTGAAGTCAGTATAAATATTCTATATTACCTGTTCTCCCAAATGGATCATCAAGCCCTTCAGAGCTGAAGTCACCTTTTACTCACCATTTTTTAATCTTCCACAGTGACAGTGCCAAATCATAAGACAGCAATATTAGCCAATATATACAAAGGACCTCTTACATAATTCTATACTCCCCAGTAGGGACAGCATTATTATGCCAATTTTACAAATGAAGAAACTGAAGTCTTCAGAGAGATTAAGTGGCTTGTCCAAATTACATGACTAATAAGTGGCAACTGTACTTCATCCCAGATTCACCTGACTCCAAGCTCTTCACTCTTGCAAAACAGCAGCAACCACAAAAATGTGTAGGTGATTAGGTTCTACATAACTTGACTTCAACGAAACACTTTTTAAAATCGAACAGCCATTTGTATCAGCAAGTGGGGCCATTGAAATGGTGGTTGTAAAAATAAACGTAAGAGAAACAAAGGTCAGAACCGCACTTGGTCTTATTTTTCAATTGGCCAAAATAATGCAATGAAAACCTATGGCTTCTCGTTTAAGAAAAGTTTTCTAAAGCAGCTTTAGGTTGAGAGTCTTTAGATGAAAAACAACTCCTTTGCCTTCCTAGAAATGAATCTTGCTGACATGTTCCATTATCTTTCCATGAAAAGAAATTTTTTTTAAAAAAAGGTAAAAGGAAATCACCATGTAAGTTTATGATTTCTTTTGGGGAACCTTCATTCGGGCAGATGACTCAAGGGAAAGAACAGCCGCTTCATTCTGACATTATAACACGATACCAAGTAAACAGTACAAAGACGAGATCTCCTAAGCAGACTAAGAAAGAAAGAAAGAGGCCGGGCGCGGTGGCTCACGCCTATAATCCCAGCACTTTGGGAGGCCGAGGCGGGTGGACCACGAGGTCAAGATATTGAGACCATCCTGGTCAACATGGTGAAACCCCGTCTCTACTAAAAATAAAAAAAGAAATTAGCTGGGCATGGTGGCGCATGCCTGTAGTCCCAGCTACTCAGGAGGCTGAGGCAGGAGAATTGCCTCAACCCAGGAGTCGGAGGTTGTGGTGAGCCGAGATCGCGCCATTGCACTCCAGCCTGGGTAACAAGAGCGAAACTCCGTCTCAAAAAAAAAAAAAAAAAAAGAGAGAGGGAAAAGAAAAAGAAAGAAAGATACTGTAAAGGATATTCACATGCAAATAGAACCGGGACTAAATGATGACTGGTAGGAACACCTGATTCTTGCATATTTAACATTTTTACTTATTGTTGCTAGTTTCTTGATATCTTCTCTTAGAAAATGGAAGCCACATGTTAACTTCACTACCCAGCAATGTAGTAATTCATCAAAATTCACTTCCATCAAAACGTACTGAGGAGGCAGCAAACTATCAAGCAAATGCTTACAAATATTAAACATCTTTTCCTTTGTAACTTTACATAAACTTTTTTTTTTTTTTTTGAGACGAAGTTTCGCTCTTGTTACCCAGGCTGGAGTGCAATGGCGCGATCTCGGCTCACCACAACCTCTGCCTCCTGGGTTCAGGCAATTCTCCTGCCTCAGCCTCCTGAGTAGCTGGGATTATAGGCATGCGCCACCATGCCCGGCTAATTTTTTGTATTTTTAGTAGAGACGGGGTTTTACCATGTTGACCAGGATGGTCTCGATCTCTTGACCTCGTGATCCACCCGTCTCGGCCTCCCAAAGTGCTGGGATTACAGGCTGGAGCCACCGCGCCCGGCCTACATAAAATAATTTATCCAAAAAAATATTTAAATAAAATATTTAAATGGCCAGCATTAAAATAAAAGCTGGTGGCCATGTCTGTAATCCTACCACTTTGGGAGGCCAAGGTGGATGGATCACCTGAGATTGGGAGTATGAGACCAACCTGTCCAACATGGAAAAACCTCGTCTCTACTAAAAATACAAAATTAGCCAGGCATGGTGACACATGCCTGTAACCCCAGTTACTCGGGAGGCTGAGGCAGGAGAATTCCTTGAACTCGGGAGGCAGAGGTTGCGGTAGCCAAGATCACGTCATTGCACTCCAGCCTGGGCAACAAGAGTGAAACTCCATCTCAAAAAAAAAAAAAAAATTAAAAGCTGGTATGGAGAGAAGGGGTTAAAGCCTGTTAGCTAAACTTCCTTAAAGTGTCTTAGAAGTGATATCCACACTATTTCCCAAGGCCACTACTGCAGAAAGCTGCAGTCTTCTGCAGTCTTCATTTATTTTTTAAAAAAGTAAAGCACTAAAACCCTCTACCTTGTTTAAAATTTAAAAGTGTATCCAATCTATTTTAAACTACATTTTGCATATTTTGGAACACAACCTCAGGCAATTAAAAATTTTTTTAATTTTCAATTAAATATATATTAGTACCAAATTAAACCAAGAAGCATATTTATCTTGGTGTAAAGCTCATCTAATATATATGAAAATGGAACATTATGCACTTAACATGCTTTTATCATACTCTGCAATTCCGAAACACACAGGAAAAGTACAAATAAAAAGGGCAGTCCAGCCAGCCACTGAAGTCATAAACAGATTTTTCTGAAGAAATGGCATGGCAAGTTACCTCTTGCAGTAAAAGATGCTGTAAGTTTTTAAGTATTACTATTTCATTCATGACACAACACACAAATTATCCTTCTGAAATAACCACAAATCACTCCAGTAAAACATACCTTTAAAAGATTCACAGTTACCCGGCGTGTAAACTGTTACAGGAGACAAAATGGCGGTTACCGGAAACAGAGTGGAAGGTTACAAAATTTCTAAGAGCAGAAGTGGTTTTCAAGTAGTAAGTGGAAACAAAAAATAACCTAACCTCTTTAAGATAACCACCAGAACCAGCAAGAGAGTGCTGCTGTGCTGTGTGAGGAAGTGAGTACAGGAGGGCTGGAGCTCTCTCACAAAGGAAGTGAATATTCACTTCTGGTTTTACAAACCAGCTCGTTTGTCAGATTAATCTCACTTGGCACACATCTGGCATTTAGTGCTCAAATAATAACACATGTAGGCATACTCAAAAATTGGCATTGACATAAAAATGTAGGCAATCTTTAACTTAAGAGGAAATGTGTTTTTAAAAATGAAGGTTTAGGGCCAGGCACAGTGGCTCACTGTAATCCCAGCACTTTGGGAGGCTGAGTCAGGAGGATCGCTTGAGCCCAGGAGTTCAAGACCAGCCTGGGCAACATAGTGAGACCCCTGTCTCTACAAAAAGTACAAAAATTAGCCAAGTGTGATGGTATATACTCCAGGTACTTGGAAAAGGATGAGGTGGGCGGAGAATTATTTGATCCAGGGAGGTTGAGGTTGCAGTGAGCCAAGATCCCCCCATGTACTCCAGGCTGGGTGACAGAGTGACACCCTGTCTCGAAAAAAGGTTTGTACATACTGTGATTCGAATTACAGGATATGAAGCTCCAGAGAGAGCAAAATTATAGTGACAGAAGTGAATCAGAGATTGCGTGAGTTGGGGGGTATGGCCTGGGGATGGGAAGAGGAGATGGTCAAAGGGCACTGGGGAACTCTTTAGGATAAAGAGTTCTACATCATGACTGAGTAAAGGTTAAGTGACTTTAAATTGCCAAATTCACCAAATTGTACACCTAAAATGTGTGAATTTTATTATATGTAAATTATACTTGTAAGAAAATGATTTTGGTAAGTTTTCAAGCTAGCCAGTCTCCCCCAAATATGAACCATAATTTGGATGAGACTGAGTAGCCTAGAAGCTAGTCCAGAGACATCAAAAGCACAGCTCTGAGAAGTCCTGTTATGCACTCTAAGTCCAGGTTGGCAGAGGAAGAGAGGGATATTGTCTGATGTCCAGAAGCAGTCACAGAGTTAGCATCTGGTGGCTGGAGAATGTGAGGTGATGGTAGGAAGATCTAAGGAGCAGGAGGCAAACACATACTCTGGGCACTTCTGCACTTGACTGTTCGCTAAGTAAACCTGGAATTCATACTTACTAGTTGAAGAGAGGGGAAGCCAGAGGTGCTTATGCTCTGTCGATGGTACTGGCCAAGGTTTGGTGGGAGAGTAAACTGTTTCCTTATTTCCGCTGAAGAATACCTTGGATTAAAATAGAAAAATCAAAATGAAGCGATTATTTCAAGAAATCATCTCAATTTTAGATGCAATCTTTGATATTATGTTATAAAACACAGGCTTTGGCTGGGCGATAAGCAGAACTGACTTAGGTACTCTCAGTGGCCTGTTAGTGGACATGGTAGTTTTTATCTGACAATGCACACCCTTGAGAAGTTCACAGAGGCCATGATGCCTGCAGTCAGGGTCCTGCCCAATATTGGAAGGATGATGGCAGAAGAAGGAGGACTTTGAGGCCCAAGAAAAAATCCAGGGCATTTGACTCCTTCTCCCCCAGCCATTCAGAGTTCTCTCTAAGTGAGGATATCTGGTCTCTGACTAGAATCCTTCAAACCCTGAGCTGCCATTTTGATTCAGCCATCCTCATTTCAAGCAGCAGAACCCTTTTGGCTGGCTGTCTGCTACAGCAGAGAACACCAGAGAACTGTTATATGAATGCTTCTACCTCCCTGTAGGTACTTTCGATGCTACCGGAATTCCCAATTATTGTATATTTTTTCCAAACTGCTCCTCGTGGAGTGATCCTTCGCATCACCCATATAGACAATGCTCAGCCAACACTTCGGGGAGCCAGGAACCACACACATGAGAGGAAGTTGTTCCCCATTGTCTACTCACACCTGCTGGCAAGTGACTGCTGGCCAGTGATACCCTAGCTTACCAACAGGTTGACTTCTGATCATTCATCTGTTAGCCATTTGTTTGGAACTCAGAGCACATTTTCTCATTACATCATTGTATTGGTGGTTGGATTCTCAGGCTAGTTCACAAAAGTGTATTTAAACCACAATGAGGCCAAAACATACAACACCAATACCACTACTGAATATAATTAGAAACTAACAGAAATTACTGAGGATTAAATGGGGTCATAAATTTTAAATATGCTTTGTGTCCAACAAGGGTATATATAAATTTTAAGAAATTGTAACTTTAAATATAATATGTAAATGTAATACTTAAATATTACAAATAAATCTTATTATATATAAGCTTATTATGTTTTCTCTGTGAAAATGTGTGCTAGGGCACACTTACTAACTACCCTGCATGATGAGTTTTCTCAGATGGTTGGCTTTGTTCCCAACCTTGGCAGTGAGTTACAGCTAGAGGCAGGAAACTGGGTTCTTGTCCCAACTTTGGCATCTGTTCTCCCTCAGGAGCATCCTAGTTTCTTTTCAAGATTCCCACACTCATGCTGTGCACTGTGTAGGCAGAAACACAAATCAAAAGAGCGGGCACATAACTCACAACTGGAGAAGCATCTCTCTTTCCCAGGATTCTGAATGACAAATGGAGAGAAGATTGGAAGAATAGGCTGGAGTACATTCATCCTAGTGGTAGCCCCTTACATGATGAGGCAACGAAGTGTGAAACCTCAGAGAAAGCAGCAGTGACAAGCATAAGTATACTCTAATTTTCTACAGCATTTTCTTTATTTAATTTTTTAAAGTATAAGAAAATACTAGGATAGAAAGTAAGTATTCTACTAGCCGTGAAGGAAATGCAGATAAAATCACAATGAGATGCCATTTCACAACCACTAGGCTGGTTATAACAAGAAAGAGGGACAATAAAAAGTGTTGACAAGGATGTGGAGAAAACGGGGCATGCATATGCTGTTGGTAGGAATATAAAATGGTGCAATCATTTTGGAAAACAATCTGGTGGTTCCTGAAAAATTAAACAGAGCTCCGATGTATCCCAGCAATTCCACTCATAGGTATATACCCAGGAGAAATGAAAACATACTTCTGGCAGTGTGCAGTGGCTCACACCCGTAATCCCAGCACTTTGGGAGGCTGAGGTAGGTGGATTACTTGAGGTCAGAAGTTCGAGACCAGCCTGGCCAACATGGCCAAAACCTGTCTCTACTAAAAATACAAAAAAATTAGCCAGGCATGGTGGCACATGACTGTAATCCCAGCTACTTGGGAGGCTGAGGCATGAGAATCACTTGAACTTGAGAGGCAGAGGTTACAGTGAACAGAGATTACACCACTCCACTCCAGCCTGGGCGACAGAGCAAGACTCTGTCACAAAAAAAAAAAAAAGAAAAAGAAAAAAATACAACCAAAATTCCCCACAAAAACTTACGCATGAATGTTCATAGCAGCATTATTCATAAAGGCCAAAAAATGGAAAAAATCCAAATGTTCATCAACTGGTGAATGACTTAACAAAAAGTTGTATATCCACACAACGGAAATTACTCAACAATAAAAAGGAAGAGAGTACATATATACACCACAACATAAATGAACCTTGGAAACATTATCCTAAGTGAAATAAGCTAAACCAAAAGACCACAGTTTCTATGATTCCTTATATGAAATGCGCAGAATTGCAAAATCTACAGACTGAAAATAGATTTGTGGCTGCCTAGGGTGGGGATATTGTAGAGAAACGAAGAGTGGCTGCTAATGAGTTTGGGGTTTCTGTCTGGGGTAATGAAAATGTTCTGAAATTGATTGTGGTGATGACTGTAAATACATTAAAAATCACTGAACTGTACACATGGGTGAATTTTGTGGTATATGAATTATATAGATAGAGTTATCTAGATAGAATTATTTAGATAAAGATAGGTGTGTGTGTAAATATTCTACAGAGACAAAAGTGACAAATTAGTATGTTTATGACAAAAGTAAAAAATTAGTATGACAACTAGGAATGAAAGAATAACCTCAGATTTTGTCTCCAAGTGCTTGATAGACTGATTTTAATTTTAAGTTGGACAGTCACCAATTTTTAAAAAATCAACAGATTAGACCACTGTCCAAAACAAAAGATCTGTATTGAATGAGCAACAGTGTATCTTGTGTTTGGCATCATGGGAACTCAGACCAACCTACAATCATTTATTTGCTTACTTGAAAAGAGGATCATAAGCCACAGAGGGCCAACACAACCAAGCCAAGGCCCTTTTCTGTGACCAAGCTGACCTTTTTATAGATAAGACTGACATCTCCTGAGACTGCTGCCTCCAGGTCTACCCCCAAGAGCTCTCAAATAGCATGTCTTCCTTTCATGGCCATTCTAAAACCGTTCCTATTACAGACCAGAGTGGTCTATCTGAAATAAGAATATCTGAAAATGTTCAGGAAAGAAAGTGGCATTGTAAGAGGATCAAAGAGGCAAGGGGCACAGAGTCTTGCTTTCGTTTTGAAGCAAGATCTGCAGTCCTATGCCAAAATTCCAGTATTTTTGTCATCATCAAATCAGAATGTTCCTGCTCTCTAGTCTTCTTAAACAGGGCCAACTGGTATTTCTGTTCCAGGCCTCTGTGTATGATTTTCCTAATTCAGAACTATAAAACTAATCTTCTTGACACTTTGAGCCTAACCCAATACCTAATAGCACTCCTATTTTCTCTCCCTAGAGAATCAATTATACAGAAGGCAATTAAACCTGTCACTTCAAAACTGTCAAATATGAATGAATTGTTTGTCCCTAAAATGAAAAGTGAATCATTCCACATGGAAAAGAATTGCTTCATATCACTTGAAGAACTTCAAAATAAAATGCCTCTAGTGAGGCCCTACATACACATTAAGCTAGCAGAAATAGGCTGGAATGATAAAATGTCATGTTGGTCAAGCTGTGGGAAAAGCAGCATGCATCATACCCCTGGTGGGGCTGTATATTGGCTCTGTGTCTCTGGAAAGTAATACTGTAATATGCAACCAGAACTATAAAACTGTTGTTACTCTTCAACTATCTTGCTTTGGGGAATATACACTGTGGAATTCATACAAAGAAAAATA